TGAGAGTGTGTGTGTGTGTGTGTGTGTGTGTGTGTGTGTGTGTGTGTGTGTGTGTGTGTGTGATGTAGTGACAGTATGCCATATGAATCCTGCTGAGATCAGGGAGATTCACAGGCATGCTTGCATGTGATCTCCGGCATGCATGCTGAAACGGTCATGCTGCATGCAGCAGTGTCACATCTCACCCGGGGTTCAGTTTGTTAAAGAGTTACATATATCTGTCACAATATACTTTAAGAGTAAGTGGTCTGTAAGTCCTGTGAGTGGTCCTGTAAGAACTAAAGGCACTGCCATATTGCTTTGTGTATGTGTGTTTTTGATGTTTGTTGCTGTGAAACTTTTAGGTCCAGCTGAAACAAAATGCTCAGGAAGCGTTTTTCCTCTTTTGTGCTAATAGAATTATCCTCAGATTACTGTTTTGTACTGAATACTGAATAGACTGTTAAGTATTGCAGGAAGTATTGCAGGAAGCCAAGCCATCATTCCATGACCATCTTGCTGGATCTATATTATGTGGGGTGTCATTTTGAGAGGTTTTTGCTTTCATGTTAGTAGACTGAACAATCCCTTTCCTTGTGAAAATAATTGAAATTCACAACTTTGTTTATGTGCGTCATTAATCTCTAATGAATTATGTTTAATTTTACAATGATTATACTGTGTCACTGCAAATTGTCACACTTCCCAGTATCAGGGTTCTTTCAATTAATTTTAATTTTTGTTAACATTTTCTGTTTCTGTTTCAAATTTATTTAGTTTTAAGTAACAAAAACTGCTTTATGGTTTTAGTTTTAGTTAACGTTATCATAACATTGCTCAGTATTACCCACAACAAACACTGCCATCTGAAAATGGCTGTTTATGTGTCACTTGTAATTCCAAGTCTATGATCAGCATACCAAAGACATTTCAAACAGAAACTTGGCGCACCAAAAATAAGGCCCTCATATAGTCTAATTGGGTCTGTAGCTGTTTATTGTTACATCTGCTTGGAAGTAGCTTCAAAAAACTAATCTTGAGTGCAAACCTTATTACTTTGTACTATGTGGTGCTCATATAGGAATCACAAGTTCAATCCTGGCTTGCAACATTCCTTGATCCCATTTTTTTTCCTCACTGTCATTTCCTGTACTATAAGTAAAATGGCAAAATTATCTCATGTTGATTTCTCTTCCTGTCTATCTCTTTCTGCCAGTGTGTGGCTGTGATTTGGCACATTCTGGATTCTTCCAGAAGAGTGGTGAGTACATCTGCACAGCAGACTACCAGCGCCTGTACGGCACAAAGTGTGACAGCTGTGGGGACTTTATCTCAGGGGAGGTGGTCTCTGCTCTGGGCCGCACATATCATCCACAGTGTTTCGTCTGCAGCGTGTGCAGGTGAGCCCTCTATACAGACTACTGAAATGTCATTATGGAAATAGACCAATCAGACAGATTAAACGTGAGGAACGCTGGTGGGATGCTGGTAAATGATGCTCATTTACTAATGTGCTGATGACTGAATCTCATTAATTCACTCCCTGACAGCTATATGCACCCCCACTCATCTATATACTAAGCAATTATACTACAGTTAGTTCCGGTCTTCTAATTTGATCAGCCAAGCGACGTTTCAAGACCGCTGATAATTATATAATTTTTTTTGAAAGAAATTCAGTGTCTGTGATGGGTGAAAATGTTTAGTCTTAAGGAATATCTTCAGTTTAATTGAATTGAATGGATTTGATGGACCACATGTAGAAAGTGGGAAGGCAAAAGTGGGAAGACAAACTCTGACTTCTTGTGCCACATTCTGTCTTATCAGTCCTGACCTTAAAGCAGGGCAAGTAGGGCAGTGTTTTGTATATAACCACTTCTTCAGACATACACTGTCAGGGTTGATATCCATCCATATGCCCAAAATTAGCTTATTTTTTTTGTTGTTGTTGATAAATTAATTAAAAAATGTGTTGATCTGCTAATAGTGAGAGAAAATTTACTTGCCATAAAGTCTTACCAGCCGTAAACTGTATTTTGCATATATCAATAGTGATAGATAGATAGATAGATAGATAGATAGATAGATAGATAGATAGATAGATAGATAGATAGATAGATAGATAGATAGATAGATAGATAGATAGATAGATAGATAGATAGATAGATAGATAGATAGATAGATAGATAGATAGATAGATAGATAGATAGATAGATAGATGGATGGATGGATAGATAGATAGATAGATAGATAGATAGATAGATAGATAGATAGATAGATAGATAGATGGATGAATAAATAAGAAATACTGCAAAACAGTTTATGGGCTGCAAGTTTTATGGATAAACATTTATGGCCAAAATGTAAATTTTATAAAGTATAAAAATTATATTTTTTTACATAATACAAAATAGCTTTCACTGTGTACTAGAAATATGAAGATGCATTGTAATTTTGTCTTTCATATTTTTGTTAGTGAAATATTCCACATACTTGATCCATTTCTACTGATTTTTTATCTTTAGTAGATCATTTGTACAGTATGTCTTTAATTTGATTTACTCATGTTGTTTAGTTCAGATATTAAAACAGCAGGGTCAAACTATAGTTCTTGTGATTTAATGCATACATTATGTTTCATTTAATAACTTTAATGTACTTGTCAATGCCAATTTTTATTTGAATTTGCTGCTTGGTGGGTGTTTATTTTGGACCCTGCGTGTAGGCTTCTTCTCTTCTCTTCTCTTGACTAAATTGCCCTAGAGAGTATAATACCACAAGTGGAGTAGGAGCGATCAATGTAGAACGAAGCAGGATATTGTAACATGAGTCAAGGCGGAAGAAAGCTGAGGTTTGGAGCTCAAAATATGCAATAATGCCCAGAAAGTAAGCAGCAAAGGGAAGAAAAGTGTAAATGGAGAAGCTGCTGAAGCTAGAGGTGAATATTTGCCTCACAGACTGAAAGGAGCAAATGAAGAGTAGTTAAAGGCAGTGGTGGAAAACACCATCTCTTGTCTTTTATGTGTGGCCTATTCTCAGACTGACAAGCAAGAAAATGAGAGGTACTGTAAGACATCCCTGCAGGGACACATTATCTGTCTGGCCAACATTGAAACACTGTTATTTGGATCCCCTTTCTTTTTGTAGTAAAAAAATAGGTTTAATAGAACTGGATATTTTCTGCATTTACTGCTTTAGTATTCACATTGGCAGGCTTCTTTTTTTTTTACATTACCTCTGCTCTCTCTCTCTTATCCCTTAAATGCTTTTCCCCTCTCTTTTCTATTCTTTGTTAAGCTTGTGTGGACACTTTGCTGAACTGTAGTGCTGTGAGTTTAGCTGCTAAGGTCTCTGTTATATCCCATTTGTAATTACAATGTGTTTGCTTTACTCTGATCTGCAGGAAATTAGTTCCACTGAATAACTCGACCCTCCTCCTTTAGTTCATTAGTACCCCGAAAGAGAGTTAGCACTTGATGAATTTATGTGGGTAGGAAAAGGCATTTTCATAGAGGACTGGGATTGCTTTGTTGGACTGCATTGCCAATTGGGCTACTAAATGGCCCAATGGGATGCTCTTGGCAGGAGTAACCTAAACATTTATCGGCCCGACCAAGAAGTAAACAGTCGACAGGAGAGCTAGATTATGTTACATTTAATATTTAGACCATCTGTGTGGAAACCAAGCTCTAGATTTAGTGGGCTATCATCCCAGTGGTGCTGTCAATGATTATTCGGAAGTCACGTTAAAATTCTTCGATGATGGTACAACTCATATTTCTGTACAGCATTCTGGACCTTTAATTGATATTTTGAGGAACTGTTGCAGTTCACTGAGATGATGTAATGTTTCAGGCAGATGAAGATGATAACAAAAAGGTTACTTATTTAATTAAATTCCAACAATAAAGAAGATATAAATAATCTAAGTGTGTGAGACAGAGTGCTACACACAAACAATACCAGAGAAATGAAAGGTGAACAAAGAGGAACTTAAATACACAGTGATAATGCACTAAAGGGTGAACAGGTGTGCTGTTTAGTTAGTGTCCATGGTAACTGATGGCTGGCGGGAAAACTAGAACAAAGGAAACAGGAAAGTGATGAGAAACAAATTAAAAGAACAATGAAACCATGATAATGAAACTAAAAGAACATAACTGTTACAGATGAAGAGGTAGCTCCTTCTGAGTGCTTCATTTATTTAGTCTGGAAAAAAACACAAGATGCAGCAGTTCCTTTGTATTACAATACATTTAATTGGCAAAATGTAAAAAAAGAAGTTGTATAAATAAAGTTTTATGTATAAAATATGTGTAAATATGTATATATAGTATGTATATATTTATTAAATTAAGTGATATATTTGTAGTACATTACCAGTCAAAAATGTGTGTGTGTGTGTGTGTGTGTGTGTACATATTCAATTCAATATGTTGTCTGAAAAAATTATATTATCTTTCACAATGTTCTTCCTTATTTAAATGTCTTATTTATTTATTTTTTTATCGTTTTTATAGTTTTTTTTTTTGTTATCAATACAAAATCAATATTAAGACATTATTTTTGTGCAATTTTTAAGAATAAATTCTTGAAGTAGAGGGCACATGCTAATTTTGATGTCCTGAAAGAGTTGAAAGATTGTATTTGTGGACAGAATAAATGCAGCAAAACATGAAAACTGTACGTTTTTAA